TCATATTGTATAGGTAATTCCAATTATTTAATTATAAATTGTGTCCCCAAATTAGTATGGGGTTGTTCCCAAGCTATACGGCTCTGACATATTAATAAAGTTTTCGATTCTATTCTATTCTGCGTACGACGTTGCTCTGGGTCCCCAACATACTAACAGATTACCAGAAATTTGTTTTGAATTTTCCTTCACCTTATTGAAAAAATTGACAGTGACTTTAGTACACTAACAGGGCTGTGCTCTAGCAGAGCCCGGCAGCCCCTGGCATGTAACGACTAGAAAATCTTAGTTTTTTCATACAAATCATATGCTGGGCACCCTAGATTTTACAGGTTCAGAGCACTGTGCTCCCTTCAATTTTCCTCAGAGCACAGCCTTGAGCTAATCATGGTGCACAATACTAGTACACAGGCACAGGTGGGTGCACAGAACAAGGATTTTGGCGCTGGCTTGCAGACAGACCTTACCAGTGGTTTAGTTTTGTCTGTGACGCAGGGTAAGTTATAGTTCAGCAGGATACAGATTTTCATAAAATCTTTCCTCTTATTTTTCATCCATCACAGGTGATTCCCAACCATTCAAGATGTTTGATCGCCATTCAAGTCTCGCAGGCTGTCAGATAATAAATTACAGAACTAACAAAGATGCCACCTGGCTGCTTCTGATTGGCATTTCAGCTCAGGTACAACAAGAACTCTATATGAATTCGAAGTGACAATCCACGGTTACTCAAAGTGATTAATCATCTGAGTAGTTTAGTCTTAAAGTAGAATAGGAAGGTATTAGGAACATCCCAGAAACCAGTGGAGTTTGCATAATACAGGAGTAATGCATTTATGCCTTTAAGTTCTTGTTAAAATCCTAGCAGCGCTATTTTGTACTTGGAGTAGCCTATTAGAAACAGATGCAGATATCCATGCAAACTTGCACAGTATCAGAGCAAACGCTAGAAGTTGTTATGTAAACAGACCATATAGCCTGAGAAAACAGCCAACATTTGGCGACGCTACCAGTGGTTACCCCGCCAAATGACATCTGAGAAACGAGCGCAGAAATTCCACACTGATGACGCGTCACTACCCAGATCTGGGTAGTGCTTCTGATTGGTCGTTTCGTGGGGGAAATTTGATTCAACCAATCAGAGGCACTACCCAGATCTGGGTAGTGACACGTCATGAGTATGGAATTTCTGTGCTCGTTTCTAAGACGTCATTTGGCTGGGAAACCATTGGTAGCATTGCCAAATGTCGGCTGTTTACTGAGGCTACAGACCATGCTGACAGTGTAGACTGTCCATGGCACAGGCCAGGCTTATGTTTAGTGTATTGCAAGTCTTTAATATTCTCTTTGATGTGATTTTACTAATTAAAGATGATAGCAGCTTGGATATACGGTGGAAACTGGATAATACAGACACTGACAGGACATGCTATATTGTCTTTATTAAGTGGGTTAATTTTAGAGAAAATATGAGCTATTTTTTTGCTGGGACAAATGAAACTGTCCGCTTTATACAGGTGTCTGTAGAGCAGGTTCCCACTATAGTCAAATTCTCAGCATACATTGTAGCATATCTGTGATCTTTCTTTGTTACAGCAAAACAGAGTTGTAGGTGCAATGCAGCTATATTCAACAGAACGCAAAGTCAGTCAGCCAATTGAGGGACATGCTGCTGCGTTTATGCAGTTCAAAGTAGAAGGCAATGCACAGGAATCCACTCTGTTTAGCTTTGCTGTCAGAGGAGCTCAAGGTGGCAAGGTGATAGAACTGTCTGCATGTACATTTGTACTACCCTGTGATAATTATATTATCCAAGCATCTGTAGCCCTTATGAGGAATATTATCTTAACACCATCTTTCGATTGATGGCACATCTTGTGTATGAAACTATTCTTATCTGAAGGGCCTTCATTTGTTGTCTCGAAGTAGTTGTACCAAAAGTTTCTACTCTTAAGTTAGGGTAATTTCTAAAACATGCTCTTGTTTAATTACAGTTGCATGTCATAGAGGTCGGCACCCCTCCTGCAGGCAATCAGCCATTTCCAAAAAAGGCAGTGGAAGTTCTCTTTCCTCCAGAAGCTCAAAATGACTTCCCAGTTGCAATGCAGGTAGGATTTACATTATTAGTTATTGACCTTTTAACCTCTTTTATCTGCATAGATATTCTCCGTATTGTTCTCCTAATATTGTTAATGATATAGTAAGGAGAATTTGTTAAAGGAACAGATTAAATATGGTCAGACCTCTCTACATTGCAGGCCACATAAAGTGCAGTATTACATCCTATTCCATGTGTGTAAATCTGCCTTATTTCACAGACAAAACATGTGTAAAAGAGTCCACAAAAATACATGATAAAATACACGCAAATTATCACAAACCGTGTGCAAAATCTTACATCCAGAGCTTATCGTCTTAGTTTATTTGATAAATTTCATTGTTGGGTGAACTCTATGAAGTGCTGCAAAACAATCTCTTGTCCTCAAACATCATTTTGGAAAAAGAAATGGCTTTATATCAATTATTACAATGTAACTAGTAATAAAAGATTTGTTACTCCAACAGTGTTTTGTCAATGTAGTAGGGGCTATACAGAGTGCTTTCTTGCTCAACTGAACCAGTGCTTATCATTTAAAAAATGTGTGTGGCTTTTTAGGTCAGTCAGAAACATGGCATAATCTTCCTTATTACCAAATATGGATACATTCATCTCTATGACGTGGAAAGTGGATCTTGCATTTACATGAACCGAATCAGTGGTGATACTATCTTTGTAACAGCACCACATGAGCCTACAGAGGGGATAATTGGTGTGAACAGAAAAGGACAGGTATGCTACACAACATTAATTTTATAGTTTTCAAAATGTTAATGTTGCAGATGTCTTGTGGTAAACAATTTATTGCGTTTGGAAACAAAAAGTGTGGTAATACTCCTGAGTAATGTACCTGTCTTTAAGTTCAATAAGCAGTAAATGCATTGTTTTAAGTGGAAGTGCACCTAGTTCTGTGTACAAACTCTTTCGCTTCCAAAAGTGGCCAAAGCCAAAATTAAATTTGGGAAAAGCAATAAATAGCAAAAAAAAACATGTGTAAGTATTGGCAAAGAGGTTTTATTTGATTGGTCACACCATAAAAGGCTATGCTCTAGCAGTGCCCAGTGGCCCCTAGCACCTAACTTTTACTCCCGGGAGACTGGAAACTCTTAGTCTTTTCATAGAAGCTCACATGTTGGGCACCCTGGATTTCACAGGTTCAGAGCACTGGGCTCCTCCTTTCAGTATTTCGCAGAGCACAGTCTTGTAAATTCACCCACAGACTAGTATACAAAGTCCGTCAGCTAATTTAGGGACTTGGTGGTTAGAACCACCTTACAAGATTCCATCTTTCACTGTGGGAGTTCAGGTATTTGAGGAAAAAAATTTTAAGTGAAAATACCCTCTAAAAAAGTTGTACATGTATAAAGTTTTCCATCTTGAAGGTTTTCAAATGACAAGACTTTGTCTTTGTAGGTATTATCTGTGAGTGTTGAGGAAGACAACATTATTCCATACATCACCAACGTACTCCAGAATCCTGATTTAGCCCTTCGACTGGCCGTGAGAAACAACCTGGCTGGAGCTGAGGAGCTGTTTGTTAGAAAGTTCAACACTTTGTTCAACAATATGCAGTACGCAGAGGCAGCAAAAGTTGCTGCAAATGCTCCAAAGGTAAGCAATAACCGATTTATCTAAATAAATGTCGAACGTGTTTTCTTATCAAAGTGCCCATAAGTTAAGTCAATAAACCTTGTACATGTGTAATTTACAGGCCTAACTTGTTTTCAGACTTTAAAACAATAGGTACGCTTTTAATGGATTGCTAAAAATTGGATATGAGTTGAAATTGTGCTGGATCCAAAATGTTTTCTTGGATTTCTGGTACACAATATCTCCCTTTCTGTTGCTTACAGACCTTGCAGTTTAGAAGATATTACATAAATCTAGAAAAGGCACCCCACACCTTATTCGCAAATCATTTCTGTTTTTCCCCAACCCCTTTATTACGGCCATAAAATGTTTTAAATGATTCTTTCTTATTGGTATTTCCTGTGCACCACTAATGAGTAATGATCATTGCTTTGTTTTCATAGGGTGTCCTGCGAACACCACAAACCATCCAGCGATTTCAGCAAGTGCCATCTCAACAGGGCCAAACTTCTCCTTTGTTGCAGTATTTTGGTATTTTGTTAGACCAGGGTAAACTCAACAAGTTTGAGTCTTTGGAGCTCTGCAAACCTGTTCTACAACAAGGAAGGAAACAGCTTCTTGAGAAATGGCTAAAGGAAGAGAAGGTAGATTGCTGCTGGTCAAGTTGTTTTATTATTATTATTTTCATTATTTATTATTATTATTATTTTATTTTATTTTTTGTCATTTTGCTTCTTTGTGCTCCTTTCATATTGGTAACTGTAGGATTTACAGTTGATTTCTTTGCCTTAAAGTGGGCTTTATCACAATGTTTTGGTTATTGCTTTAAACTGCAAAAACATGTTAAATGAAAGAAAACTTCAAACTGAAATACAGTTACATCCTACTTTTTCAAGTTCAATTTTTGGTGTTTTTGAAAACAAAAGCACCTTCCCCTTGGAGAGAATCAGTTGTGAAATGTGATGAAGGATGTAAAGTTGAATTTCAGTGAGTTGTGACTGGAAACTTCAAACCAACCATGACATAGCGTATAGCATGTGGCAGCCAGTGGGTAGAATACAGTGATCAACTAATTGGAACCCTGAAAATAAAGTAAAAGATAAAAAGTTTTATATGTTTTGAAACAGTGATTTATATGAAAAAGCACTCAATAGGGAAGAATTTTTAAGAAGTAAACAGCAGATTTTGAGTGCAAGGCACAACCTGCAAAGCTTATTAAATTTACACTGTACATACATGTATAAGCCTCTGTGATGAATATCTATATCACCATCTTTCGCTTGATGGCTCTAAAGTCTGTGAAACAACTGTATTTGACCTGAGAGGCGCACATTTTCTGTTTGGGATTTGTTTCACTCACTTTTGTTGTTCTGTTTTTTTTTTTTTTTTAATTTCTGAATTGGTTCATTTCTTCTCCTGGCAGCTGGAATGCAGTGAAGAACTGGGTGATCTGGTGAAGCAAGTTGATCCTACTCTTGCTCTTTCAGTGTATCTCCGAGCAAATGTACCAAGCAAGGTAAATTAAGTCTATTCTTTTACTAATCTTGTCAAATGTACCTCTGTCTTAGCATCTTCTGTAGTCCTGTCAAAACAGAATGTTATGAATGTAGCTGTTAATTTCTCTTGGTTTAGTTATTTACTCCACATTAAACTCAGAAGCAAATTGTAAAGCCAGGGTGTCTTAGAAAAAGGGGTGATTCAAGATGCAAAAACTTTGCTTTCAGGATTGAGTAGAGTTTTCAGGTGTCAAGTGATTGTCAACTTACATTTTCTGGGGCTGTATTCTTGTCTTTCTCCAGGTGATTCAGTGTTTTGCTGAAACAGGCCAGTTCCAAAAGATTGTGTTATATGCAAAGAAAGTTGGCTACACACCTGACTATATCTTTCTTCTGCGGAACTTAATGAGGGTCAACCCAGAGACTGGTGGTCAGTTTGCAACAATGCTGGTACAAGATGAAGGAGAGCCCCTTGCAGACCTTAGTCAGGTAACTAGAACTTTGTTAAAAAGGAAAATGAAAGAAAAGAAAGAAAGTATTGGCCATATTCAACAAAAATTGCAGTTTTTGCTGTGCCAGTGCTTTCAATAAACACCAACAGCATGTGAAAATTATTTGCTACTTCACTCAGAGACATCAGCTACTTTTTCTGTAACCTGAAGTAATTGTTTTTGTATGCAAAATTTTTCATGCAAGAGAAAGTTTCATTGACCTGAGTGCTTGTATCAAAAGACTATGTCCGTGTGAAAATTTCAGATTGTTGATGTGTTCATGGAGACCAACCAAGTTCAGGCCTGTACATCATTCCTCCTTGATGCTCTTAAAAACAACCGTCCCACTGAAAGCCATTTGCAGACAAGGCTGCTAGAGATGAACTTACTTACTGCACCTCAGGTTAGTTCTCGCAGCACTCATTAATCACTTAAACAAGAGTGATCAGAATGAAATTTCTCCTTGTAATATCGATTCTCTATAAAACTGGGTGGTAATAAGAATAAAGGACATGATCAAACATTTACATTTATATTTACCATTTACAGCCAACCCCTCACATTCGAGGATTATTGGCTGGGTTAGTCAGCAAAACAAAAACAAAACAAAAAAAGTTACCTTAATAGGCTGATAAACAGGTAGATGATTTAGGCAGCTTATATGGGCTTTGAAAGTATCTAAAGTGCAGTGTTTGCTGAAGGCAGAAGCAGGCAAATTGTTTCAATGAATAATTGTTCTGGAGAAAAAGGATAGATACTCGGAGGACAGGCTAGTTTGAAGCAGGAGTCGTCCCCGGAAGAGGGCCGTAAGCCGACTGTCAATCTGACGTTGCTCTAGGGTACACCATCCCAGGTCAAAGCAAAGCATGTTGGTGACGCGTCTGATGAGATGAATTCAATTGATACTTAAACAACCTTTCCCAACTGCTTGAAAATGTTTACAGGCAACAATTAGAATACAAATTTGGATGTTAGAGTTTAAAGGGCTAATAATAGTGCCAATTTGTGACCAATTTTGTATGAACTTTAATCAGTCCGTATGATATTAAAAAGATCACAATGGTATAATCAGCAATCATTGAGATGAAGATTTACAGTTTATAACTAGTCAAATATATGCTTGTTCAAACAGGTTGCAGATGCCATCCTCGGAAACCAGATGTTTACTCATTATGATAGAGCACACATTGCCCAGCTCTGTGAAAATGCAGGACTCCTGCAAAGGGTGAGTGAGCATTCATACTTCCTCAAATGACTTTTATTTGATCCAAAGAAAAAAGGGCCTTTATAGGACATTTTCCCTGAATAAGGAATCTTGGATTGTGAGTAAACAGAAACATTTCTTTGTTTGTTGTCTCTATAGGCCCTGGAGCACTACACAGACATCTTTGACATCAAGAGAGCCATTGTCCACACTCACCTGCTTAATCCTGAGGTAATACATTTGTTTCTATCAATGTTGCTTTCTTTTTTTTATATGGTTTCCACCTATAAAATGAATTTCTAAAATTAATAGAGAATATACATTTAATCCTGCAGTGGCTTGTAAACTACTTTGGATCTCTGTCCGTGGAGGATTCCTTGGAATGCTTGCGAGCCATGCTCACTCACAATATTCGGCAGAATTTGCAGATCTGTGTCCAAGTGGCCACCAAGTATCATGAACAACTCACCACTGCTGCTCTGATTGAGCTGTTTGAGTCATTCAAGAGTTTTGAAGGTAAATGTCTTGAAACTTAAAATATTCTTCTGGAATGATCATTATGATCACTTGTAGATGACTGAAATTTATGTGAACCTTGCGTAACCTTGTCAGCAGAGACAACCTGAAAGCCTCTGCAGTGTTCACATCAAGAGAATTACAGTATATACATTAACACTGCTTTCTGAGTCCCCAATGTCCCGTGTCCCCTGTGTCCTGTTGTGTCCCTTGTGTCCCCCATGTCCCCTTGTGTCTTCTTGTGTCCCTTGTGTTCCCCATGTCCCCTTGTGTCCCTTGTGTCCCCTGTGTCCCTTATGTCCCCCGTGTCCCCTTGTGTCTCCCCTGTGTCCCTTGTGTCCCGTGTCCCCTGTGTTCCCTTTGGCCCCTGTGTCCCCTTTGTCCCCTGTGTCCGTTTGTGTCCCCTTGGGTCCCCTATGTCCCTTGAGTCCCCCATGTTCTCTGTGTCCCTTGTGTCCCATGTGTCCCCTGCATGTTCTTGTGTCTCTTGTGTCTTTTTGTGTTCCTTGTGTCCCCTGTGTCCCTTATGTCCCCTGTGTCTTCTGTGTCCCCTGGCATCCTCTTGTGTCCCTTGTATGTCCCTTGCTGTCCCTTGCCCCTTGTGTACCTTGTGTCCCCTGTGTCTCCTTTCCCATTTAAAAAACATGAAATATATGGCAGCGTCATGTGTGTTAATACAGTATATGCATCATTAAGAATAGTGAAAAAATTCTAAGCTTCAAATCTGTAGCTATTCAATCCAAAAGTTATCACTTTGTTGTGTGTTTTTAGGACTGTTTTATTTCCTGGGATCTATTGTAAACTTCAGCCAGGAAGCAGATGTGCATTTCAAGTACATTCAGGTAAAGTCAGTGAAGTATTAAGTATCTACTCTAATGCGATAGTGTTTACCTCGTACCTTTTCCTGTATTTTTTTTCTTCAGGCTGCCTGTAAAACTGGCCAAGTTAAGGAGGTGGAGCGTATTTGCAGAGAAAGTAACTGTTATAATGCAGAAAAAGTCAAAAACTTCCTCAAGGTAACTTGTTGTTAATTCTAGATTTTTTGTAAATTTTGTTAATGCCAAGTTATGTAATTTGGTTTGCTTGTCTATCTGTTATTTATTTTCTCTCTCTATCTTTCTTTCAGGAAGCTAAGCTGACTGATCAACTTCCCCTGATCATTGTCTGTGACAGATTCGATTTTGTGCATGACTTGGTGTTGTATCTATATCGAAACAACCTTCAAAAGTACATTGAGATCTATGTACAAAAGGTAAGGTTGTGGGAAATCAAGCTCATGTCATAAAGCTGGTCCAATCTAAACCTTTCCTTGTCTTTGCCTCTTAACGCCCCTTTCTTTGGTAGTTTTTTCGTTTGTTTGCTGTGTAATTTTACTCTGAAATGATCTTGCTGTGTTTGTTTTTTTCCAGGTGAATCCATCTCGTCTCCCCATAGTGGTTGGAGGCTTACTGGATGTTGACTGCTCAGAGGACATCATTAAAAGTCTTATGATGGCTGTGCGTGGTCAGTTTTCTACCGATGAGCTAGTTGAAGAAGTGGAAAAAAGAAACCGACTCAAACTGCTTCTCCCCTGGTTGGAGGCCAAGATTCATGATGGTTCTGAAGAACCTGCGACTCATAATGCTCTGGCTAAGATTTATATTGATGCCAATAACAATCCAGAGCGATTCCTTAGGTTAGTGAAGTGTTTCTTGACAGTTAGGTATTATCTGTATCTATTCAGGCGAATTTGTGGCAGCTAATAAGACCGTGACATACACAGAAGTCTCAGCAAATGACTCAATTTGTCACAAGTTTATCAATATCTCAGTGGTTACTACGGCATTAGGGAACAACCCTGTCAAATGTAAATGAGCACATGTATTTCATGTAGTAGGCAGTATATATGTTGCAACACAAAGAGAAAAGTCCCACCATCTCCACCCCCGGTTTGGAGTGTGTACAGTTAAGGAAATGGCAGAAAGAAACCTTGTGACATGGACAATGAGCATGAAGGAAGCTCTACATGCCACTGAAACATCTGAAAGATGTAGCGAACTACCGAGTATGTGTCTGCAAAACGACTGCAGATTTCTGGCACTGTGGATGCTCTTTGTTGTTAATTCCTTTAAACTTCATTTAAATGCATGTAAATTAATATTATTCGAGCAATCAAACAAAATTACTGGCGAAGAGCATGTTTAGAGGGCTGACAGTGCTCTACCTGTGGCAAGAGTGTTCAATTAACCAGTTGTGATTTATTTACAAATTCAAATGAAATTTTTATTTCAGGGAAAATCCTTATTATGACAGCAAAGTTGTCGGAAAATATTGTGAAAAGAGAGATCCACACCTAGCTTGCATAGCATATGAAAGAGGGCAGTGTGATGCAGAGCTCATTAAGGTACAAATTTTCCGTACAAATACCAGTTTGGAAGTAGTCAGATCATTATTTTTCACTCTCAGTTTTCAGTACACTGCTTTGATGTGAACATTTAAAAAGTTGTTTTATTTATGGACCGTTTACTTGACACCGGAATGCCTTCAATTCTGGAACGAGTTCTTTCCATCTTTGTAATTACAATATTTCTCTGCATTTGTTTACATTATGCTCAAACAAGAGTTCATTCACATTCCTGAATGAGTATATTCGGGAACTTCTTTCTAGAATAAAACCTATTCAGGAATGAAAGTCATTCCAGTATCATGTAAAAATCTCTCTAACAGACACTCTTCTAAAGGGACAGTTCTACTTGCAGCTGCATTGATAGAGACACCATCAGTTGTACAGTCGCTATTTTACTTCCAGAGGGTGTTCACTCAGTACAGCTTTATCTATGGCCACACAGTCACACTCAAACTTCACTATTTATTCTATACAAGAATTATTCTTGTAAACATCAATCTATAGCCTGTAACTTAGAATTAGTCCAGGCATATTGAGAGAAGTGAATTGAATTAAATATTTATAGGTCTGACAGGTTTAATGTAAAGTACCTGAAGAAATTTTTATGTATAATGGTTTCACCTCTCTTTTTTAAGGTCTGTAATGAAAACTCATTGTTCAAAAGCCTCGCAAGATATCTGGTGCGGAGAAGAGACCCAGATCTTTGGGCAGAAGTGTTGCAGGAGACCAACCAGTTCCGTCGACAGCTTATTGATCAGGTAAATCAAGCTAAATTACAGTGCATGTGTACATCAACTGCCGCTGAGAAAAGCCACTGATTAGAATAATGCATTCACATTAACCCCCTTTATTCTTAATTGCTCAGTGAGTCAAGTGTAGGCACATTTCCTTGGAGTTGAATTCTTAAAGCATGCATCCATTTTTTAGGAGACAAGAAAATTCATTTTACTTTGTCAATTCTCCACAACATGTCACATTAGAAAAGTTACTTTGCAGTTGTGCTATGGGTGAAAAAGAAATATTCCAAAAGGTGTGATGCATGTCCATAGCTTTTGTTTTGCTTATTAGAGTTTGTTTTTTCTTTACATTTTGGTTGCCATTATCTTTGTGGTTTTAATGGCATTATTAAAGGTGTGTCTGTAGAGCAGTCACGTTAGATCAAAGAAGTCAATGAGATTGTTATTTATAGTCATTAAAGCACCCCACTTTGTGGTTCATAAATTTTTTAGGCTCAAATTTAAAAGCGGTGAAGCACATGTTGTTATCCTTAAACTACTGCTTTAACTGCTTATTACCATAGGTTGTGCATCTTTGACCGCACAGCAGAAACAGTTTCTGCCAATATTCCAACTTCTCTCAGGGAAATGTTGAAAACATCCCGTATGTCCCTTTCCCACTGCCTTCTCGGTCTTTCTCTTCCTTTTTCCCATCTATCTTTCCCTTCAAGATGATCTTTCCCAGGCCCTCCCTTTTTTTCAAATGGACAAAAATACTTGAGCTTTAACCACTTTGTTTTTATTCTAAGGTTGTACAAACAGCTCTGTCTGAGACCCAGGATCCTGAGGATGTATCATGCACAGTCAAAGCTTTCATGACAGCTGATCTTCCCAATGAACTCATTGAACTTCTGGAGAAGATTGTCCTTGAAAATTCTGTCTTCAGTGACCACAGGTAGGGAGGCACTACTGAAATTATTAGAGAGATTAAGAGTCGTGAATAGAAAAGAAAATAAGCAGTTAAAACTGTCCAGCAAATCTTCCTTTAGATTTCATTTTTCCAAAGAAAGAAAGGAGGAAATATGATTCTTGGACGTATACTCAAATAATGGCCAGTCTTGACCCCAAGTGCTTTGTTAAAACATTGTAATCTTTACTTGTTAAAAAAAATATGTGAAGAAATATTATTTTATTCCTCATCTAAATTGAGTGGCATATCCGCTTTACCTTACACAATTATTTTTGCTTATCTTCCAGGAACCTGCAAAACTTGCTGATCTTAACAGCTATCAAGGCTGATCGGACACGTGTTATGGAATACATCACTCGCTTGGACAACTATGATGCCCCTGACATTGCCAGCATTGCTATTGGTAGTGAACTTTATGAAGAAGCTTTTGCAATTTTCAAGAAATTTGATGTTAACACATCTGCCATTCAGGTATAGTCTGATTCTATGTGAAAGCCTCATTTATACAGTTAGCTTGTTATAATAACCAATTTGATTTTTTTCTGACAGAATCACAAAAGTTTTCGTCAAAGAAAATGCCATTAATGCAGCCAGTGGCCACATTCTGAGACCCCAATATGTAATGGAGGCGATCTATTCAACCAAAATTCCGACCGGTCTGACCGGGAAAAGTGGTCCACCTGAAAAGGTGGACCAGTTTTTTCGAAACTTTTCTGGTTGGGCTGAACCGATCCATCGAGTTTTGGACCGAAATTTCTGGCAATTTTTGAATGGATCACGGCCAGCATTTCTATATAAATGCGCTTCACTTACATGGCCACCCAACCAACTGGGCATCAGACAAAAGAACTTAAAAATTCCCTTTGGTGATAATTTTTATACACTGTAATTTGTAATTCTCAAAGCCTTTTCTCTTGATAATGTATTTGTATTGTTGGGAGAAAATTTATGTTGGTTACCCTTGAGAATTAATGGGTTAATTTGTTCAAATTCCTATAGGCCATTAGTGGCTTTATTGGGTTGTATTGTTCTTTTAAATTTTTGGGAAATCAGTGCTTGAGCTTTATAATAAATTATTACTTAGCTTTTAACATCCATATAAGTCAGTACCTTTCTTAGTTTTGCCATTCTAGGAACTGGCTTACCTGATGTTAGGCATAGCAGCATTAAATTTTTAATTTTCATTGACTTCAGGTGTTGATAGAAAATGTTCAAAATTTGGACCGTGCCTATGAGTTTGCTGAACGATGCAATGAAGCAGCAGTATGGAGTTTGTTGGCTAAAGCTCAGTTACAAAAGAACATGGTGAAAGAAGCTATTGATTGCTTTATCAAAGCTGATGATCCTTCTGCATACACTGAGGTTGTTGAAGCTGCAAACAGAGAAGGTAGATTTAACCAGTACTGGTTGTTTCTTACTTAATTTACTTTATGTCTGTGAGAGTGGAGGTGTAACTTCTTGTCAGTATTGTAGGGGTTTTTTCATGGAAGTCTAGTCCAATATTTTTGTTTAGTTCTTCCAATTTCTTGCCCTTCCTCACTTGGTTTGCATCTCTAGTTTATGTCTTTTCAGAACTACAGTGTACAGTCATACCCCGTTAATATGGACACTGAGGGGACCATTGAAAGTGTCCGTATTAAGTGGGCTGAATTTAGAGAAAATGGAAGGGCCTTCTTTTCCTAGGGACAAATCAAACTATCAAATTATCCGTAATAATGAGGTGTCAGTAAAGCGAGGTTTGCCTGTATTGGCGTAGCCAGCCCATAAACGGGTAGGCCTGGGCCTACAAATTTTTGGTTTGATCACTCTACCACTTGTAATATATTGTGCGTTGTTGGGGTGAGCTAAAGAGCTCAAGAGCTCAATGTGATGGTGAGGTCAGTGCGTTCTAGTCAGGGGTGCAATCAACAGAATCATAAACAAGCATTTTTCAGGATATGTGGAAATGATATTCTGAACCACAGTCAGCCAGGCCTACAATAAGTTGGAAAGCTGGCTACACCCTTGGACTGTATTGTCTGCTCTCAGACAAACTACTTGTACCTATTTTATTTGAAAGTGGTGATGATTGTTCACCTGTAGGCATATCCCCATATCTAAAACATGCATTACCTTCCCTTCTCAGGTAACTTTGAAGATGTAGTGCGCTACCTACAGATGGCCCAGAAGAAATCTAGAGATTCATTTGTCGAAACGGAGCTCATTTTTGCCTTTGCTAAAACTAACCGTCTTGCTGAACTGGAGGAATTTATTTCAGGACCTAACCATGCTCAAATTCAGCAGGTTTGTGTTCATATTTTTTTCTCAATTGGCATCTCATTTCCACCCAAGTATAAGTTGAAATTCCTTGGTCAATCGCTGAATTTCGATTTTACATGTATTAAAAGCAACTCACATTTTTAACGAACTGAATGTGTTTAATTCTGATGTCAACTGGCTGCCTGGCTCTGCTAGCCCCTTTGGTTATTAATTTTACTTTCAATATTTTGTTTGTCTTAAATTTTTGTAGAGCAAGAGTGAGTACAAATAAATATTCTTGTGTAGTTGAAGATGAAGGGAGAGTTGGGTCACTTAATGTAGAGTGAAACTCTTTTCTTCCTAGGACTAAGTGATGTAATTTCACAAAATTAATGATTTATGCCTGAATCGAAAAGAAAGATGGTTGACTGCATTCTAGGTTAAAGAATTTATTACTGACCTCTGTCTTAACATATTCAAGAAAAACACATTCAGAGTGTTTGGGTCTAAATAGGTCTTTCATCAGAAGATTGTGTTGGAGGCTTTCAGTCTTAAATTTCCATTCTGGGCACTTGTAGGATTGGAGGGGCTAAAATTCCTCATTCTCTACACAACATTCTTGAAATTTTCAAAAAGCACTTCATGGAGGAGGAGGACATAGACATGTGACAAACTAGTCAAGAGACGTGTACATTTGACGTGTAATTTTGTATAGAAATAAATAGTGTCTCGTAATAGTGATGGACACTTAAGCTTTAAGCAGTGAATTTGTTTATCATTGTCACTTCATGGTTCTCACTTCTCTCTCACAGGTTGGCGATCGATGCTTTGATGAGAAAATGTTTGAAGCTGCTAAGCTACTGTATAATAACGTGTCAAATTTTGCCAAATTAGCTTCAACTTTAGTTAACTTAGGAGAATACCAAGCTGCAGTGGATAGTGCCAGAAAAGCTAACAGCACCAAGACTTGGAAAGAGGTTTGTGGAATTATCAAAGCTATAAACACTTTGCATTTGTGGGTTTATTAAAATTTTTTAACCGCTTAATGTGGTGCGTTTTGAAGAGTGTGATGCTCTACTCCTTATTTAAGCATAAATTAAACTCTTTTTTTTTCGTGGTTTGAGACCAAGGTTTTGTTTAATGAATTATGATAATTTTTGTTTCTGCACAGGTCATAGCAGTAAGTTGCAAATGTTGGGTTCACTTAGTAGAACTATTACAACTTTTAAGCTTTTCTTTACACCATGTTATGTTTATTCTTCATTACTGAGCGATGAGATTGCTGCTGATTCCACTTGGGGATTGTAATCTGGAGACAGTGATCTGCCCCATTTTCACTTGCCTAAAGAAATCAGCCAATGGATTTGGTGACCCACCCTTACAGATGCATGAAAAAAAATAAAATAAAATAAAAAAACAAAACAGACATCCATTTTTGACTTACAAGTATGTTCATGGATTTGACTCAGAACTTCAGTCTAATTTTTTTTTCACATCAACCCTTTTCTCCAGGTTTGTTTCTCCTGTGTCAGAGGAGAGGAATTCCGCTTAGCACAAATGTGTGGACTTCACATTGTGGTGCACGCTGATGAATTAGAAGAGTTAATCAATTTCTACCAGAATCAAGGCTACTTTGAAGAGCTCATATCCTTGATGGAGGCTGCATTAGGCCTGGAGCGTGCTCACATGGGCATGTTCACTGAGTTAGCAATTCTGTATTCTAAATACAAACCTACTAAAATGAGGGAACATTTGGAGCTGTTTTGGTCCAGAGTTAACATTCCTAAGGTGAGTAGTGACCATGCTAAAGACTTCATTAGACATTGGATAATTTGGAAACTATCTTGTGACCATGCTCTCTAGAGGGCTATGAGGGCCCAGAGAGCTTGCTCGCGGGGTTTTTGGGAACAAAGGCAAATCATTTGTCAAAAAATAGCAAAGAAATCGGTTGATTCAATGGGAAAGCAGAATAGCAGTGTACTTAAGCTGGTTACACTTTTGCCCTTTTTGGTGATAGCTTTTGTAACAGGCTCAGAAATTTTTGACCCGAAACAGGTTTGATGCTTGATGTTGTTTGACCTCGTTGTAGTCTTCGAGAGCACTTACTGTTCTTAAAAAATTCATTTGCAAAATCATATCAACTGCATTGGAACCATGATATAAGGAATGCCTTTGTAATGAAGACCTTGGTAGATATTGGGGCTCCTGTGTATACGTTTTTTAGTTGCTTCGTAGGGGAATGAGTATCCTATCAACTAATTGGGGTGTTTCTTGGTTTTGCTAAAACCATTGTTGGTTTGCTTTTGTGTCTATTGTGGGTATTGTTCAGTGTCTTTTCGGTCTTTTTTAGTACATCATTTGGTGACAGTCACCAAGGTTTCAACATGCTGGGTAAATTCAACAAGCAGGCAGGAAGTCAAACGCCTAGGGATTTCGGGTCATTATCGGAGACGGAGACTCAGTCGGAGACTGCCCACCTACCCCTCCCCTAAATTTTTTTTGGTTCTATTTTCCTTCCATTTTCCTACGAAATGAGGCAAGGGTCACATTCATAGTTGCTGAGGGAAATTCCTGCCCCCCACCTCCTTAATGAAAGCCCTAGGAGATTGCATTTGGTGAAAGTAATGCTTTATTTTAAAGGTTCTTCGTGCTGCCGAGCAAGCCCACTTATGGTCTGAATTAGTGTTTCTGTATGAGAAGTACGAAGAGTATGACAATGCTGTGCAGACCATGATGACCCACCCTACTGTGGCATGGAAAGAGGCCCTCTTCAAGGATGTCATCTGTAAAGTGGCTAATATAGAATTATACTACAAATCACTGCAGTTCTATCTTGACTTCAGGCCGATGCTAATCAATGATCTCCTTATGGTCTTGACTCCCCGCATGGATCATACCCGTGCCGTAAATTTCTTCAAGAAGGTGAGTGAACTCGGTAGTGATAACAATTATGAAGTCTGAAATTGCTACTATATGTTTGCCATCCCTGTTGGTTGTAAAAGTAACCTGGAAGTGTTTTGGGGGGCTTTTTGTGTAAATCCGTATTTTGCAGTCAATACCTTCATCTTGCAAAAATTTTGTCTAATTAATGGGAAAAGATGTTCCCTTCACTGGCTCTTGTCCTAATTAATGTGAATTAAGCATTAATTAGCAGTTATTGCTGCGTCTGATATGAGGAATTATGCAGGTCAAGGAGGGTGTTTGACATCTTAAGATAAGTGGTTACGCTTTATTTTGCATTCACGGTTGGTAGTCGCCACTGTAAAAATGAGAAAGGAACTGAGCCGAGTGTACCTTCGCAAAGACTTCTGGGATTGCTACTAGGGACAGGAAAAAAATTGACCTATAGCTGACTGGTGTGTCCCCAGTAAAAAGTGGCGAATAATTGCTATTTTATACAATAATATAAGCGTTCCCTCTGTTGTTACACTGCCGGTTTTAATTGCTGGTCTTGTTTCAGGTCAACCATCTTCCTCTTGTGAAGCCTTACCTCCGTTCAGTCCAAAGTCACAACAACAAGGCCATCAATGAAGCTTTAAATGATCTGCTTATTGATGAAGAAGACTATAATGGCCTCCGTGCATCTATCGATGCATTTGACAACTTTGACAACATTGCGCTGGCTCAACGCCTAGAGAAGCACGAGCTTATTGAGTTCCGCCGTATAGCTGCTTATCTTTACAAGGGCAACAATCGCTGGCAGCAGTCTGTGGAGCTTTGTAAGAGGGACAAGCTTTACAAGGTGTTTATATCTTGATACATTTTTTAGTGTTGCTGGGGATGTGGTTCCTACGTACGTGTAGAATGGTGTTTGTTGTTTTATGGTATTGAAACTCTAATATCAGCACGCCTGTTCTTCCCACGGTTTTCTATCAGTATCAATCACACAATCAAGAGAAGAAGTTATAAGAAGTTTAAAAAATGATCACCAAAGGGAGAATGCTTTGATCTTTTATCACATTCTCTCAACTTATACTCGAAAAAAAATGTATTGAAATCAGTTTGGAGAATTTGCATGTGAATATTGGGACTTTGAGGTTTGTATAGAAAAGGCGGATTGGAAGCATTCCAGTTTGCATGAAGGGGTTAAATTGATCTTCTCTTTATAGGACGCTATGCTGTATGCTGCTGAATCCCGTAACTGTGCCACAGCAGAAGATCTTATCCACTGGTTCTTGGAAATAGGCAACCATGAGTGCTTTGCCGCGTGCCTGTTCATGTGCTATGATCTGCTCAGCCCAGATGTTGTGCTTGAGCTGGCATGGAGGCACAATCTCATTGACTTCGCTATGCCTTATATGGTGCAGGTCATGAAAGAATACATTGACAAGGTGAGATTCCTTCTATTGATATAAATCAGTTAAAACGGCGAGGAGGCAACACTGCGAAAACGACACTTAGTGACTACAGTTAAGGGTCACGAGGTGCTAAGGGCAAAAGGCCGCCCCAAGTATTTAGTCTTATTTTTCTGCAGCTATTAGACAAACATTTTGTTCCAACCGTTATAACTTGGAATGTACGTAAATTTGAACGTGATTTTTTTCCCTAGCTATGGATTAATTTTGTACTACACCATTGCTGATAACAATGCAGATATTAGACACGCCACGAGAATTAATTACTCGTAATTTTGTGAAGGAAGTAGATCCTACTACTCCTTTATGGCGTCCACTGCGCAACAAGGTTGATGGATCTAAATGCATAGGGAAAGAGTCATCAAGGACGAACGTCAGCTGTGCTATTGTATAGTGGTCGGTCTTTTGCCGCGTGCGCAGTAGTTCTTTTTCTTGATTACCAACCGCTGTTTGGGAAATGAGCCCGCGCTCCTCTCCCGAACAGACAGTCTCTTCTCGGGGAGGACTGTCTGTGCATGGTGTTATGTGGCTTATGTTCGTGGCAGCGTGAGCTTATAATATTCTTTACTTTGTTTGAAAGGTGAACAAACTGGCCGTGTCAGAAGCCGAGAGAAAGGATCAGGAAGAAAGCAAACAGGATCAGCCAATAGTGTTCGGTAGGCATGAGTGACTATCATCAATTTCCTCTTAACATTTTCAATACATAATTAAGGGGAAAGGTGAAGGAATTATTAAAATGATCACTACGGGGAAAATGCCTTGATCTTTTATCCAATTCTCCCAACTAATTGTGTAGGGAAATGTATACATATCAGTCTGGAGAACTTATATGTGGATATTGGATATCCAAGGCTTAAAGTGTTAAACCATACTTGAAGAACAGGAGTAAAAACATCTTTTACGATGCTGGCCATGGAAAAGGCACTAAAAAGAAAATGCATACGAAAAACAGCAATGTGTTAAAATATAGTGGATGGAAAATAAAGTTTCCTAAGTATTGCGATGGGTGTTATAGCTATACCATACATAAGCCTTCGATTTATTATTTTGAGGGTTCATACGTTAGTAATCAAATCCATATTACTGTCGTAAGCAGTATTGTTACAAGCCCATCCCAAGGAATCTTTTTACTGCAGCTCCACCGATTGTGGGTTAAAAAAGTGAAGAATGGTCCACAGGTTGTTACTCTTGGGACCAAGGGAACTTTTTCCCGTGACAGGTGTTCATTCGCCACTTAAAACCTGAAAAAAACTGGGCCGAGTAAACTTTCGAAAAGACTTATGGGACTGTTACTGGGGACAAAGAAAAAATTGGCCAATAGCTGACCGGCACTTCCCCATTAGCGAACCCAGAAACAATCGCGCGACTCATTTTCGGCCCTAGTTTCCTTCTCGATTCTAAAGTGGCGAATTGTAAGTGCATCCATTTGGAAAGGTTTTACCTTTTTGTGTTTCTGAAGAGGTGTTGTTTGTTTGAACTTATTAGGTGCAGATCAGCTGATGCTTACAGCCGGACCAAGTATGGTGCCTAATATGGGCGTGGTTCCGGGCATGCCACCCCAACAGTTCCCCCCGGGATATCAGATGCAGCCGGGATACATGTGACTTAATTAGAAAACAAACAAAAAATAGTATAAAAAAATAGCTAGGCCACATGTTTCTGTGGTGTTTTTTTATATTCTCGTCGGTCAATTCCCTACAGTAAGTAACTTAAAATTTTAAATTCAATGAATAACAGAAAACCGTACCACAATAGTATATAGCTTGGATCGTAGTGGTAGTTAAATTGTTGGTCTAAATGCCGGTGTGCTTTTAGCTTGGTTTGATTTCCACTCAGTACCCTTCAAACCGTTGTAAACTTACGTATGTATGGAAAATAAAGGCCATTCATATTACAGCTATTTTCTTGTTTCTAGTCAGAGAAATGCAGTTTCCAGGGGATCATAATTATTAAAAAAAACTGAACCAAGAGGCATTCTCACATTTCATTTTTCGCAACTCTGCATCACAGATCAAAACGCTATTAAAAAAGCCGTGAAAAGCGCATCGATTGCCGCCCCTTCTGCACATACTTCTGACCTGTTGGAAGATGGCGAGGTCATGGCTGATGTCGAAAGACAATACATTAAGAGAACTACTGGAAAATGTTAGCAATAAAGATGTTCCAACGAAGTTCTTCAGAAGCTAAGCAGCAGCCCCTGTAACCCTGTATTCCCTTGTAACCCTCTGTAATCCCTTATTACTTCCTGTTACCCCTCGTTACCCCCTGCGGATGATATCCAAATCTTTGCTCTAGTAACACAGGTGTTGTTGCTAATAATTCTCATCTGGAAAAATTTGAGGCTCCATTTCCACCCGTTAAAAACTAAGTTAATGCTCATTGGGTCGACCTGTACCCCTTTAAATTAACTCTCAAAAACATCTCTGCCCGTCCCCGCCCCTGTAAATACATGTGAAAGCTACGCGCGCTGTGATTGGTCTTTGAGTTCAGATACACGTGAAACGTCACGGGAAGCATGTTTGTGCTACTTCGGCGAGTACTTCATTCTGCGTTCATCATGGCGTGCGGATTTGAATATGTTTGTGAGATTATTTCGGCCCTCGAATAACGTTTAGCTGGAGCTTTTTACGAAAAAGAAAAATGGAGAAACGGAGGCGAAAAGAGTTCTTGACAACTTGAGAATGCCTACGCTCAAGCCTCAACTGGAGATGACACACATGGCAAGTTTTCTTGCACGAGAGACTCGCTGTTTTGCAAAATGTTTTCGCCATTATTCTGCTTTGAGCAAGTGAAGACGTTGAAAAACTTTTCGAAGAAACTGTCTACCAGTAAAATAAAGTAAAAGAAGAAGCAGAGACAAAAAGCACCGTTTGCGACTTTCAAATGCCTAAAGTAGCGCAAATCCTCGAATAGTCACGCGGTTCAAGGTAGGCGGTCTTTTTTCTTTTCTGATTGTTGTGTAATACAAAAAGATTCCATGTACAGTAGGTCAGTTCAGTAACAGATCACAGAAGACGTCAAAATGTGGTAAAAACACCAGTGACACTTTACAATGGGACATTCCATTTTTTATCCAAACCCCCCATTCCGCCCCCCCACCTTCCCCCAAACAAAAATTTTGTCAGCTCCTCTGAAAAACTCTCAATCTCAATCTCGTTTCCAGGTTCTCTCTCCTACCCATTGAGAGACCCTGGTTGGGTCTGGTCACGTGTCTCCCAGAATCTGGGAGATTACAAACAAACGATTCGGGGGAGGGGCGAATAAGTGTGAGATTTGTCTCTACAAAACATATATGTTGAGGTCAGTGGAAACTATGTATCTGACCACAGGCGGCCCAGACGCAGCGTGTGTTAATTTATTAATATTCACATGGACAAAATGGAATGAGTCGTCACAACTCCCATGAACTAAAATAGTCCAAAAGTTCAAAATATAACAAAACAAAGCTAAGATACCCTTAACTGAACAACTCCGTCTAATTCCTGGCAAGTTAAAGTGGCATTTTGTTGAGTTTTGCAGTCGTAGGTACTATCCACTATAGAAGAATTAAAGGCTGGCTTCCCATGGTTTCAGTTATAGTTTTATAGGGTTAGCAAATCTATCTTGCTCTTGCGGACCCTTGCGCTCATTGCGTAAACGAGACACAAATTTGTGCAACAAAGGACTCCTCCCTCAGAATTAATTTTGTTCTGGGGCCACATGAGCAGACCCAACCGCGGTCTCTCTCTCCCTCTTGCTCTGTAGGGGTGGGTAGGAGAGAACCCTGGGAACAAGGTTACCAATTAACATTCGGATATTCCACAGGAAGTTACACTTTTGCCTTCAAAGGATTGGGCGTTCGAGGTTTTGTCTTGACTGGTCCGGAAACTATAAGAATCATGACCTTTTAGACAAGGTCAGATCACAGGCGGCCCCGTGTCACAGGTGACACGAAAACTTACAAGCAAAGCTAAATATTTATACGATATGCCCCAAAGGTGCTGTAGTTTATGTTGAAAGCTCCCTGACCGTTCACAATCCTTTGTTTTTTGTGAAAGGTTTGAACCCAGGAGTCATTTCAAAAGGTTGAGTTTGATCGTCCGGGTGAACGTAGTCCTGAATAGGACTGTTGTTGTTGACAGTGACTGACGTTTCGACAACCTGTGCGGTAGTCATCTTCAGAGTCAAAGTGAGGTGTGTCATGTCAGTTGATGGTATTATACTCTGGTTATTGGTTTGTTTTTTGTTCACAAATTGTGACTGAATAAATTAATGTGATGTTTCTATTGGTCAGTAAGTTCAAAATGATAAGAATGCTATTGAACGTTGTGTACGGCAAAAACCCGAGTACTAAAGGCGAGAACATGAAAAGAACTAAGGGACCGGTCATTATTTATTGCCTGGGGGGGGATTTTGGGGGGGAATCACTTGATTTTTAGGAGAACAAAAGGGGGCATCGGTCGTGACTGAGAACCCAAGAGGGGGGATCCCTGAAAACTTTGGAAGGATTCAGACAAAAACTCAAATGCTGAAAATAATGCACAAAATCCTTTGACAGTGAAAGCGTAACGAACTTCAGGGAATATCCTGGTGTTTATCTATCGGGGATGCTGTCCTCTTCAAGTATGTAAATATTGGCGCATGTAGAGGAAATCGCGATTCAGTCACTGCTTGTGCAGCCAAAAATAATTTACACAGTGGTATTCATACCAATTGAAATGCACTGGATTTGAATTGCCATTTCTATGTTGTGGAGGTTACAAAACAAATGTATGTGTTTTCAAGACTGTGATTATATAGTTCAAAAGGGCACCAATAAGATGTATCAAGCATCGCCATCCTTGCTGACCTCGAAAATGAATTAAATAGGTTGAAGCAACAAGAAGAAAGAACACGCCGCCTGGACACAGTTTGATTGTTCAAATGAAAAGAGATAAGCGGAATCTTGAAAGAGTATACTTATCTACAGTTCTGTGTCTTTCAGCTTTTTTTGTCGTCATTTAAAATCAACCAAATGGTCATAAGCACCTTTGTTAAAAATTGGCTTGGACGACCGCCAACCGTTTATTTATTCCTTTTTTGTTTTTCTGGAGGGTTAGGTATGCTCAGCTATTGGCCATTTCAAAGTTGCGTAGGGAACTGGGGCGAGTTTCAAATTTAAACTAATCGATAAACTGACATCACCATATATATATGATTTTGGGGGATGCTGTCACAAAATTATAAAGACGTTTGTATGGATCTTCAACCATGTTTCAGGAGTCATAACTTGATCCTTGTTCAACCTTAGAGCACCAAACTTGGTCAAATGACCAATCTCAACATGACCTTTTATATGGTGGTGTCAATTTATCGATTAGTTTAAATTTGAAACTTGCCCAAGTTCCCTACGCAACTCTGAAATGGCCAACAGAGAATTTTAAAAAATCACTGGGCTGCATGTGTATTTTAATAGAGTTTTCATATGGACCATGTACAAGAAAGCCTTTCGCTCGGAAGGTTATGTCGTCCGTTTTGTCTCTGCTTATACTAAATGGTTTCTTGTTGTCATCCATCACGTTGTGGTCATCCTTTGCATTTGTTCGGAAGCACTATATATCTCTATCTACCACTAAAAGCAATACGTTTTTCTATTGCCCATCATAACAAAGGTTAGAGAGTGAAGAAAGCTGACATCTCATTTCAGTCTATATTTCTGTAAAGTCACTAGATGTGATATTATTTTGACGGTTCAGCAAATGTGAATTCCCTGCTCCCACAGAGTTAAGACCACTAATGGTGTAGGTTTTGCATGCAGTATACTGATTCAGCCCGATTACCAGCAGCCCCTGTCAGGCAAACATTGATACTTTAAAAGCAAGTTTAACATAGAGGGATTTCCTTCAATATAAACACACTTGTGTAGAACTCAATATATATCATATATCTTTATTAGGGATTGGTGTAAACTGTGACAAAACGAGCTTTTGCTTTCTCCTCTGGTAAAATAGTAAACTTCTTAATCTAGCAACAGTTCTGTTTGGGCAGAAATTTCCCATGGTTTCAGTTATAGTTTTATAGGGTTAGCAAATCTATCTTGCTCTTGCGGACCCTTACGATCATTGCGTAAACGAGTAGACCCAACCACGGTCTCTCTCCCTCTTGCTCTGTAGGGGTGGGCAGGAGAGAACCCTGGGAACGAGGTTACCAATAAACATTCGGATATTCCACAGGAAGTTACGCTTTTGCCTTCAAAGGATTCGGCGTTCGAGGTTTTGTCTTGACTGGTCCGGAAACTATAAGAAACATGACCTTTTAGACAAGGTCAGATCACAGGCGGCCCAGACGTAGTGTGTCAACATATTAATATTCACATGGACAAAATGGGATGAGTTGTTGAAACTGCCGTGAACTAAAATAGTCCAAAAGTCAAAATATGACAAAACAAAGCTAAGATACCTTTAACTGAACGTCTCCTTCTAATTCCTGGCCGCTTAAAGTGGCATTTTGTTGAGTTTTGCAATCGTAGGTACTATCCACTAAAGAAGAATTAAAGGCTGGCTACAAAACAAATGGAACATCTCCACGCGCCTTCACGCAAAGCGCTATAAATTTGAGAATACTCGACGAATCCACTCCAAATTGCCATCAGCTAATCTGCAGGTAACGTGTGCTCTTGCGTCTTGCTTGCTAGCTCCACAAAACCCATCGCAACTGCACAATAATATTGCTTGCTCATCAACAAACACTGTTGACCTTTACGCTTCGATATGACCGCAAACTGCCAGAATTAATATGCGACGTGAATATTTAAGCTTAGCGACCGCGAATGTGCTAGTGCCATTGCTTTCAGAGTGGTCGTGGGCGCTAGCTGTCGTTAGTTTTTTCTTGGCAACAATAGAAGATTGCGAATACCAGACCTTGTTCTCCCGAGTTTTCCTCCGATTGCTCTCCGACGGTCCGAATGATTAATAATCTGGCA